GATTGCATACTAGAAGGAATCTGTGTATCTAGAGTACTGTCTCTAAATTTTCCCCTTGATTCATTTCTCTAAGGCTCATAAGTCCTCACACCTCAGCTGAAATGTAATAACTGAAGTAAAGAAATATTACTGGTTTTGTTTCACTGATGTCCTACTGACATGCATGTTAAAGCCTGAGCATGCTGACGAATAATGTCTAGCAAAAAAGATTTCAAGTTTCTGATAAATCTTTTTTCTTCAATCAGAGTATTTGAAGGGAATATTTTTCTAATTTTAGAAAACAAAAATTACGAATGGGAGTTTTGTCTCTGCCATGCTCTCATCTTCACTGCACAGTGGAGCAAGAACAAAGTATCTCTAAAGCCAAAGCACTTGCAGTTTTCTAAAATGAAAACAAGTGATTTGGAATATGTAGCCTTAATTGAAAAAGATTGTACTTCAAAAAGAAAACCAGTGTTACTTAAAAGGTACCTTTTCATAAAAAGCTTATCTTGGTACTTTGCACGTTATTAGTGTAATGGCTTGTACATTCAAACCTATGTATTTGTAGGACAGCTGTGTAGACACCGAGTACCTTATCTAAAGTTGTAAGAAATATGTACATAGTTAGACCCAGAAGCTCTTGAACGGTTAGCTTGGTCTTTTTGCCAGTATGAGAAAACCATACCAGTGTCTGCTTGACTCACAAGTTCAAGTTGGCTCTGTTTAACTACCCTGTAGTACTTTCTAAGACATCTTGTTCCTGCTCACAGCTGACTCTGCAAATGTGTCCACAATTCTATGGTGTTTACAGTTAAAAGGGCAAGACCAATTATGTAGTCTTGTTTCCATAAAGCATAAAAAATCTTGTTATCTGTAGGCGGGTGGGGAAGCCATGTGGATGGAAAGTCCTAGGATAGTTTTCAGCTGCTCCATCAGCTTAAAATAATAATTTCACATAATGGAGCATAATAATCTCTGTTGTATGGTCCTGGCAAGCTCTGCTGAAAGAACATAATCCAAAAGCAAAGTTGATGATTATGAGCTGAATGCTTCAGCTGATGATCACCAGCTGGTAGGGTCACAGGCCTGAAGCTACTGGGAAAGTCTTGGAAGTTCATGGGAGGTGTTGTTTTTACTGGATGCTGGTTATAAGGGCTTGCTAAACCAGGCTATAGCATCCATAGGACTAGCTAATGATGCAGGATGCATAGCTAAGTGTGCCAGAACATGACTGTCATCTTCAGACACACTTTACACTAGTGAGTGTAAAGAGCAAAGTGAACCATGTGGACTGCCCCATTTACCCAGAAAGCTATATTAGGTAGAAAAAAACAGTTGTGTTTTTCTGTACCCAGCAACAGTTTCTGAAAGCGTGTAATTAGAAATCCTCTCTCTATTAGTTGCTTTGAACTCCATGTAGCATTTTCTGCAGTGACACAGAAATAAGGTAAAAGGGAGGAAGCACACCTGCCTGGCTTGTGAATAGTAACATCCAAAGTAGGAAATTTAGTCATCTTGCTTTTTTTTTTTTAATGTGGTATGAGGATATAAACCCACTACTTTTAAATTAAGAAAAAGAAGGTTAATGGTTCTGAAATAGAAAGGATTGCTGAAACAAACACATCGTTGTAGAGTGTGAAGCTTTTAAGCTTAAGAAGGGAAAAGTTGATGAAAATACCATAAAAACAACAAAAAAGTACAACTAAATGGAGAAAATTTTCAAACTGTTTATAGTTACTTTCTTTTTGAAGCCTTACCTTTTTTGTAGGTTTGTATTAATTACTTCAGTAAATTACATGAGTCATAAAGTGAGATGTAAAATATAATCAATGACAACATACTGAAACTGTTCTTTTATGAATTTCAGGTATGGTATAAAGTTAGAGAAGGTGAACTTCCAAACAACTTCACCCACCGATTTCTAACAGAGGTTTGCAGTTTTAATACATTATTTCAGTTAGTTTATGTACTCATAAAAAATAATTTATTGACATTTAACTTCTTTTTGCAGGCACCCATAATCAAGAAGATGCTTTCAAGAGACTCTTCAGCAAGATACTCTGCTTCTGAAATACTTGAATTTTTTAAGCCTGTATATAAAGACAACCCACTTAAAACTCATACTCAGTAACTGCCCTTTCAAAAGGCTTTCAGTCTGTGTTTAAATCCAGACAAAAGAAACGTAAATGTCAGAAGCAACAGCAAGACTTGGGACATGTCTTTTCCATGGTGTTTCGTCTTCCTGCCATTGAGGAGTTCATCAGCCAAAAAGGGTCACATCGCCATTCACACCCATCAGCTGCAGACCGAGACAGCGTACATCTGCAAGCAAGGACTTGTGATTTTTACCTGGAAACACAGGTTGTGGATAAGATGAACTGTATTGTACAATCCTTGTCTCCTAGATTAAGCTGATGTGGTGCTAACTGGCCTGTGGCAAATCCCTGTAAGCATGCTCTTAAGACATGCTGCATCCATTATCAGTTGAGGTTATCTGTTGCTTTCTGTGGAAGAAGTGCTGTCTTGTGGTATGTGACTCAAACCCTTCTGATTTGTTCAGTGATGTTTTTAGTAATTACTAGAATGTTCCCACTAATACCAAGGCAAATTTTGGTAAAAAAGATAGTAGGAATAGGTATGGGTTATTCTTCACTGAATTTCAGTTCTTTAAGGTGACCTTTCTTATCTCTACATTCCTGTTAAATCCCTAGCACCTTCAATGCTCTAGAATTTTTAAATACGTACTTTTAAAGTAAGTATTCCTTGATAATTTAAATTTTAAGCATTCAGCTTCTAAGAAATCTATCTTAGATTTAATTGTAACATTTGAAAACCTTAGGTTTTAAGTTTGGCTTTGCTTTTTTTTTTTTTTTTTTTTTTTTTTTTTAAAGGAAAGAAAATA